AGCATTAGCTAGTTATGAAAAATGCTGTGGTGATTAAAGACCTTTAATATGGGTGCCTTATGTAACGTCAATGCTGCAAAACAGAAAAACCATCAGGGAAGTATGAATCAATTTGCAGTCTCAGTGAACCTGTCCTGGATCTTACAAATGCTAATACAGAATTAGATGCAGGACCAAGAGAATAAGAGGTGGAGGGGAGAATCAAGGACTCTTCCAATTTTGTAAAGACTTTAAACACTTAAAAAAAAAATATATATATATATATATAGGGGCCGGAGCGATAGTACAACGGGTAGGGCATTTGTCCTGCATGCGGCCGACCTGGGTCTGATCCCTGGCATCACATATGGTTCCCCGAGCACCGCCAGGAGTGATTCCTGAGTGAAGAGCCAGGAGTAACCCCCAAGCATTGCAAAGCCATACACATATATATGGCTTTGGGGGCCATACCCATACCAGTAAATAAGGTAAATCATGGTGGCATAAACTTTTGCCTAGCAACCACAATTAAACCCTGGTATTGCCCACAAATGGTGAGGCACTATCTCGAAGACCCTTAGATAGAAAGGGCCAGAAAGCTGGCCCTAGGCCAAGAGAAGGCCATGTCCCAGTGCTGTGTATGTACAGAGGCGATCCTGGCTGCCCCACACCAGTCTGAGGAGGGAGGGAGGGAGGGAAGAAGTAAGAATGGTAGGAAGAGAGAGAGGAAGGACGAAGAAGGACAGATTCTTGAAAGAGCTGTCATATAACCTAGCAATTTCATTTCTTGCTATCTACCTTCAGGACACACAGAAAAATTCTTGTGCAAGGACATATGCATGTCATTAGTCATTGCAGCAATCAGCACAATAGATAGGATATGAAATCAAACTAGGTGTCCAATGAGGACTATTTGAGCAGATAATGAAAGTGTGATATATATATACACAATAGAATACTATATAGTTACAAGGAAGGATGAAATGATGAAATTTACTGTAACTGGTTTGGAACTTGAGGATATCATTTAACTGAAGCCACAAGAAGACAAACATGACCTCACTTATCTGCGGTATGTAGAAAAACAGAACAAGGGGGTCCAAGCAATAGTACAGTAGGTAGGGTATCTGTCTTGCACCTGCCAATCCAGGTTCAATCACTGTAACCCCATAAATGGTGGCTCCCAGGGCCCACAAGGGAGTAAACTCTGAGCAGCGTCAAGTGTGACAACCCCACACACACACACAAATTTTTTTAAATAAAAAAAATAAAAATAACAGGACAAGGGACTGCAAGGTATCAAAGTGGTGATACCTGTAATTACCCTGGTCACTAGAATATAGAAATGAAAAGGACAGGGAAGGAAAGAAACTGAGGAGACGAAGAGGCAGGCAGGAGATAAGAGGGACAGGAAGCAGGGAACTCGGACACACCGGCAGTATAGAGAGCTGAGTTCAGATATAGTATATCTGAACCAGAGTCAACAACACTGAAAGCATGAGATCCTAAGTGCAATGACCAAACTTTAAAATCCATCCATCAAGGATGATGGGAGGGCATCTAGGGACTTAAGAGAAACTAACAGAGGGAAGTTGACACAGGTTATGGGACTGCTGCTGGAACCTTGTATGGCTGAAATTCAACTACAAAAAATTTTGTAAATCATGGTGCCTTCATAAAAAATTGTTTTTAGGGTTGGAGAGCTAGTACAGCAAGCAGGGGACTTGCCTTGCACATGGCCAACTCAGTTTTAATTCTGGGGATTCCATAAGGTGCCCCAAGCACCACCAGTATTAACTCCTGAGCACAGAGCCAGGAGTATGCCCCCTGAGTATTGACATGTGTGGCACCCCCACACACACAAAAAAAGTTTTTAAAAAGAAAAACAAAAATTTTCCAAACAAAAATTAAAATATGGGACAGAGCAGGTAAGGCACTTGTATTACATACTACCAAGCAGAGTTTGACCCCAGGCAATCCATTCTGTTGCCCAAGCCCTGCCTGAAGCCTCCACATTCCTGAGGGCAGAACCAGGTTAAGTCCTGAGCACCACTGGTGTGATCCAGAAACAAAACAAAAAAATCACTGCCACTGTCATCCTGCTGTTCATCGATTTACCCGAGCGGGGCACAAGTAACGTCTCCATTTGTCCAAGCCCTAATTTTTTTTTTCATTTTGTGCTCATCTTTTTTTTTTTTAATTTTTATTAGTGAGACATCATGAGGTACAGTTGTAGACTTACAAATTTTTGTGCTTGGGTTTCAATTACACAATGATCAAATACCCATCCCTCCACCAGTGCCAAGCCCTAATTTTTAAAAAATTAGAACACTAGGGGCTGGAGTGATACAGCAGAGAGGGTATTTGCCTTGCACACGGCGGACCTGGGTTCAATCCCCGGCATCCCATATGGTCCCCCAAGCACCGCCAGGAATAATTCCTGAGTGCAGAGCCAGGAGTAACCTCTGAGCATCACTGGGTGTGACCCAAAAGGCAAAAAAAAAAAAAAAGAAGAAGAAAAGGAAAGAAAAGGAACTTCCACTAACATTTTTGGGGGTGGGGGTGCTTTGAACTTCACCTGGCAGTACTCAGGGCTTATTCCTGACTCTGCACTCAGGGATCACTCCTGGGACTCTCTTGGGAGCCCAAGCAGGATGCCAAGGATTGAACCCAGGTCAGCCACCTCCAAGATTTGGTCCCTGTAACTACGTATGGTTTCCTGAAATCAGCTAGGAGTGATCCTTGAACGCAGTGTGAGAAGTAAGCTCTAAGACATGCTGGGTGCACCTCCCTACCCAAAAAGAAGGCCCAAAAGGGCAGTCTTAATTTTTTCCTCAAGATATATAATACTAAAGAATAAATCAGAATTGAGGATGTGGCTAAAGCAGGAGTGAATTGCATGCTAAGACATGATTGAGGCCCCAGGTTTGATGCCTAAAGCAGTAATAACAAAAAGTGGATTGGATATTACCCACAGATTGCCAATGCTGGGAAGTAAAATTCTGAACACTAAACCTCATATATCACCACTAAACAGTGGTTGATAATAAGAGAAATGAGGCTGGGGAGATAGGTCAATCTGCTAAGGTCAGGGTTCCATTCCCATGACATGGTCCCCTAAGCACAGTAGGGCCTAGTTCCTGAAGCACTCACTAAGCCTGGAGTAGCCCCTGAACACCAGAAAATGTGGTCTAAAAACAAAATTTAAAGACAGTGTGTAAGGCTGGGGCAATAGCACAGCGGGTAGGGCATTTGCCTTGCATGCGAGTGACCCGGGTTCAATTCCCAGCACCCCATAAGGTCCCCTGAGCACTGCCAGGGGTAATTCCTGAGTGCAGAGCCAAGAGTAACCCCTGAGCATCGCGGGGAGTGACCCAAAAAGAAAAAAAAATTTAAAAAATAAAATAAAGACAGTGTGTAACTATCAGCTGTGTGATCATTATTATTTAATGATGCTTGGTGCTTTTGGTTCTCCCGTCTGTAAAATAAATGTCTCCATCTCACAAGGATTTCGAATAAACATGTGCAAAAACTTGAGTAACGTTAATTTTAGCATGGTAGTGGGATCGGTGTTGAAATACTGAATGTAATCAACGTGAACAACCTTCTGAAAATAAAATTTAAAAAAAAAGTTAACCTTAACTTGATGCTAAGGTCATAATGTATTGGTCCTGTTTAACAAAACAACACAGGACCAATGCTAATAAAAAGCGGCAATTGGCACATTTCACAAGATATCCTTGAAGGAACTTAATTTGTAATACCTTGAAAACAGGAAAAAAAAAAAAAGGAGGGGCTATTTAATCATGGAGCTACACTGCCCTTTTTTTTGTTGTTGCTGTTGTGGTAATGAGGTTATCAAACCTAAGGCTTCCCATGGCATCCCTGATCCTGCGCTGATTTTGAAAGCCACGCAATTTTCTTTTGCAGCCACACCAGGCAGGGCTAGGGACTAGGACGTTGGGGGGAAACACGCAGAGCCGAGATTCCAACCCGGGCCTCCCGCATGAAAAGCATCGGCTCTAGCCAGCCCTCTGAGCCAAATCCCCCATCTCCACAGCCGGAAAAGCACCGTGGGAGGAAAAATAGGAAGAACCATAAAACAGTTTGTCCGAGACAAGCCTCCATAAAGAAGTTCAAGAACCGACGGGGGGGGGGGGGGGAGGACGTGGGGCGCAGAGGGGTGTGAATGAGAAAGCAAGGAAACAGGAAGCCAGGACATGTGCATTTCCTGATTCCCAACAATCACTGTAACAAGTTATCTCTTCGGGGTGGGGTGGTGTTGCCGGCACTGCATAGTAACCACGAGCTGTTCACTGTGTCAAGAGGAAACCACTGGCAACTGAACATCTGCCTCCCTTTTGCGCTTAATCCCGGCCCTCAAAAATTAAAATAATAATAATAATAATAAACGAGGTTCCAGGAGACGATGTGCACAGTCACTGAACTTAATAATCACCCCCAAGAGCCCGCAGTCGTGCCATTAAAGGATCATCCGTGCTTGCGGAGCTAGAAAACCTGGAAGCCGCGGGCCAAACCCTTAACGGAACGCGGGGCAACAGGCAGTCGGGTGGGCAGGGACCCTCCCCTCCCCACCACCCCCCCAAACCGTCAACCCAAACTGGTTCCGAAACAGCACAAAAGGCTCCGCTCCCCCTCCGCCTCCGGAACCGAAGGAAGGAGCCGCAGCGGCTGCAGCAGGCTGAAGGCTGCAGCAGGATGCAGGCGGCGGCGGCGGCGGCCGAGCCAGCGCCCCGCACCTCCCCGCCCCTCCCCGCGGCTGGCCCGGCCCCCGGGGGAAGCCCCCTTCGCCCCACCCCGGGCCAGGGCCCGCCCCCAGCTTCCCGGCCTCCTTCCTGTGGGAAGTGCGGCTCCTTTCGCGTCCCCCACCCAGCGCGCGGCGCCGGCGTGTGGGGGCGCGCGGCGAGTGCGGGCCGGGAGCCGCCGGGCTGCTGCGGCCGCATGCACCTCGCCCGCCTCGGCGACAGGTCCCCGCGACAGGTCCCCGCGGCCAGCCTCACCTCGCCACCAGTAGGTCTTGGACAGGTCGTGCCAGGTCTGATGCCGGGTGTGGTGGGTCCCGCCGGGGCCCAGGTGCGCCGCCTCGATGAGCCCCCGGCGCCGCTCGGGCTGCAGCACCACCTCGAGCTCCGCGAAGGTCTTGCGGTGGCGCTGCCGCCGCTGGTAGTACAGGGTCCCGCCGCGCACCACGTAGCAGGCGGCCGCCTTGCGGATTTTACGCTTGACATTGCCCTCGGTGCCCGGCGCGTACGGCTCGCGCTCGTTCGTCAGGTAGCGCAGGATGGCCCGGTAGCTCTCCTCGCTGGACATCGCTGCCGGGCGGCTCCCCGCGGGCGCCTGTCAGTGGCAGCGCGGGACACGGAAGACAGCGCCCGGGACCGAGGCGGCTGCAGCGGCAGCGCTGACACTGGAGGGGAGGAGCGGCACCGGCGGTGGCGAGCGCTCTTCGACGGCGCCGGCCACACGGAGGGGCGAACGGAGGAGTTGGTAACCGGGGGAACTGCACTTCTGCAGCGCGCGGGATCCGCAGGCGACTGACAAAATGGCTGCTGCACCACCGGAAGTGACGCGAACCAAGGGCACTGGGTGAGGCGCCCGGGCCCTGATTGGAGCGCATTGGTTTTCTGGCTTGCTGAAGCCGGGGGAGTGACGTCAGGACTCCGGGCAGACATTTTGGAAGCGGGTAGACCTTTCCCGGGAGGTCCAACTGCCTTGGGGCAGACATCTTAAGTCCTGGCAGCTTCCCTCTAGTAGGTTTCCCTTCTCGCCCGTGTTCTCCGCGCACGTGTACGAAGGAGCTGGTGGTCGGCTGTTAACCGGTCTTAGACACCCAGGCTCGGAAGGAAATCTACACTTTTTTTTTTTTTTACCCGACGACGCAAAAACGCCACATTTTGGGCATCTGACTTACTATATTCTAGTAAGCTAATATATTCCCGTGATGTTAGCCAGTGGACCCAAGATCAAAGGAAGCTCAATTCACCTGGATATGTAGGTTCCAGTTTACAAGTCTTATAAAATTTTAAGCCTCGTGATGGTAGGAATTACTGTCATTTCTACGGGTCAACCACTTGCTCCACAAACCAACAGAATAGGACATTTTGCTTTTTGGGTCACTCCCTGCGATGCACAGTACTCCTGGCTCATGCACTCAGGAATTACTCCTGGCAGTGCTGGGGGGGAAGAGGGGGAGCATATGGGATGCTGGAAATCGAACCCAGGTCGGCCACGTGCAAGGCAAACGCCCTACCCTCTGTGCTATCGCTCCAACCCCCAGAATAGGATTTTTCTGGAAGAATCCATTTAGAGGCGTGTGTTTTTGTTTTTTTTCTTTTTTTTTTTACAAAGGAAGGCGATCTTGTTTGGAATGGAGTAAGTAGCATTTCTCTTGTAGTTTATAGTTTAATTTACATGTTTGCATGGAGAAAGTTACCAGATTTACCTTACTAAGGTATAATGAACGTAGAGAAAGCATAAGAGACTTGAATTGCGTATTCAGTGTGTAATCGGGGTCCCATTTCAGAACCGGATGGAAGGCGTTTGGCCTCTTCTCTAGAATAAATCCCATCCAATGAAGTTTCCGCCAAAATTAAAATCACACAAGAGCTACATAGGGTGTGGGCCCTGGCAGTAGGTGTGTTTCCAGGCCTTGAGACCCCTCCTCTTACTTAGCCCTGGAATTTGCAGTCTGCAGGTAAATGGAGCAAACAGCAGGGTCACCATGATCATGCACCCTAAGGGAACTTTGTAGGAATTTTAACTGAGTAGGTACTGTCATAGGATGGGAGGGGGGGGGGGTAGGGCACAGCATGAGATAGTACAGCAGTCAGGGCATTTGCCTTGCACACTGCCAACCCAGGTTCTGTCCCTGGTACCCTGTATGGTCCTCCAAGTCCCTCCAGAAATGATCCCTGAGCACAGGACCAAGAGTTGATTCCTGAGCACAGACAGGTGTGAACCAAAAAGACAGCTACCAGGCCTGGGATAAGGCCCCATATACTATTGTTAGGGGGAAGGTGGAGGGGGTAGAAGTGACAGAACCGCCACTCCCCACATAGCACATCATAGATGGCCAGATCCAGTCTGCGCTGAACCAGCACCACCATTCTGCTTTTTAAATAAACTAAAAACTAAACATAAGGCCAGGAATAGGGCTAAAGTGGTCCCTGTTGTTTGATGCTCACACCACCACCACTTGCCAGCTGATTGAATGGTATATACAGATCCTTAAACGCATTAGGGGCAGGTTATAGTACAGGCACTTGCCTTGCATGCGAGGTGGCAGATCATAGTTCTATTCTCAGCACCAAATATGGTCCAAAGCACTGCTGGACATGAACCTCCCCAGAGCCCCCAAAGAAGTTTTAAGCAAACATGTAAAAAATACTCATGCGGAAGGAGGTGTGTTCATGGACTCCCCAGGTGGCTGTCACCCTGTCACCGCCTGAGTTTGGTGCTCTCCAGCTGAGTGTGTGGGCTGAATTGGGATGGCTGTTGGCAATGGGCAGGCAAAGGAAAAATGAGGACCAAGCTGGTTGCTTATTAGTTGCCATTTATTCAATCCCTTGCCCACACTAGGGCAAAATCAACATAAGAAAGCCCTTCCTGACTGCCCATCAGGCTCAGGGCCGAAATACCACCTAGGGGTATTCCAAAGTCCTTTCTGACTGCTTGCAGACAAAATACCTCTTAAGGTGTTTTTCTCCTTTCCTTAGTCCAATAACTCAACATCTTAATACTAGTTATTTCACTGTGGACACAGTAAGAGATACATTGAGGCTTGTAGGGCAGCTCTCCTGGGAACATCTTGCCACAGACTCAGACTCAGGACTATTGCGCTCAGGCCACACTTCAAGCAAAATCTTTATATATAGATATATGTTTCAGGGCCATACCCAGCAATGCTCAGATACTACTCTGGCTCTGCACTCAAGGGTTACTTACTCCAGGCAGACTCAGGGAACCATAGAGGACACCAGTGATTGAACTTGGAGCAGCAACATGCAAGACATTACCCACTGTACTCTCTGGCCCCTTAGGGTTTAATGAGTAAAAGCTTGTCAACCTTGCTTGCTCTAAAACTAAGTTAGAGTTATTAGTTGGGGGGGGGGGGGGGGATTGGTGCTAAAGATTGGCACTCAGTCTCACAAATAAGGTAAGCACTCTACACCTAGTTTTAACTAAAATATTAAACGAGTTTTAGTCATGCTATTTCTTATGTAAAAATAAAGCCAAAATTTTATTGTAATCTGAGTCTTAGGGCTGGAAATAGTTCAGGGGGTACTTGCCTTGCATGCAGCCAAGCTGGGTTCTATCCCTGCATCCCATATGGTCCCCAAGCACTGCCTGGAGTAACCTCTGAGCATCACTTGATGTGGTCCTAAATCAAAACCCCAGATATTGGTGTGCAAGATGTACTTTACCATTCCTTTGGTGCGTCTCCAGCCCAGCAAGGCCTGATTTTAAAATACCAATTCCATCACTCATAAAATGAAGGTATACTTCATAAAATGAAGGTATAAAGTCTAGGGGATTTCTGGTTGTTTGGGAGCCATACCAGAGGTGCTCAGGGCTCCCTCCTAGCAGGGCTCAAAGGAAGACACGAATTGCTGAGTAATGAAAGAACAAGTTATTTGTTCAACTACCATTGCTACGAAAAGGCATGCTCCTTGAAAGATGTGCCTTGGGGGCATAAAGACAGGAGAGAGAAAGGACCAATATGACAAGTTAGTAATGATCACTCTGGACAAGAACTGAGTGTTGAAAGTAAGTAAAGGGGTACATAGGACAACCTTTCAGTTATCTGTATTGCAAACCATAATGCTCAAAAGCAAAAAGTGCCTGCCAGAGGCAGGTGGGGTTGAGGGAGGAGTGGAACATTAACTGGAGACTTTGGTGGTGGGAAATGTACACTGGTGAAGGGACGTGTTAGATTATATCACTGAAACCCAATCATGAACAACCTTGTAACTATGTGCTTTCTCTGTTACTCAATTAAAAAAAAAGATAGATAGATGTGGGTCATGACCTGGGTTCTGTCCCTGGTATCCCATAGGGTCAGCCGCCGAACACTGCCAGGAATGATAATTCCTGAGTGCCAAGCCAGGAGTAAGACCTGAGTGAGCACCGCCAAGCGTGGCCCAAAAACCCAAAATAATAATAAACAGATGACTTGCTCGTTGCATCCTGCAACTTGACACAGTATGGTACTTAAGCATGTGCTCTACTATTTGAGCAATCTTCTTGGCCAATATACACTCCTTAAACATTAGGCAACATACACATGCACATTCTAAATTAATTCGAAAGTTTAGGTGATCTATTTCAGTAACAGTACTATGTCAAACTAGTTCAATCAGATACTTGTGGAACGTTAGGTAAACTACTCAAAAGTTGTGTTCTTTAAATCAGGGTTATGATTCTGGCAGGGTACACACTTTGCATACTTGAGTTTGATCCCCCACCCAGGAGAAAAATGTTACGTCTATTTCCTGAATTCAAGAGCAGATTAGATGAGTCCAACTGTGGCTTTTGTATGTATGATGCTAGAGATTTAACCCAGGGCCTCATTCAGGCAAAGCTAGCTTTAACACTGTGCCACACTGTGGTCCCAATGGATAGTTTTAACCTACTTGACTATCAGCTAAACTTAAAGTGCTGACAACCATGAACAAAAAGCAAATTCTATGTGGAGAAGGTAAATCACCAAGAAATTAATGCTAAGTTTTACCACATGTAGAGATAGTAGAGGAAAAAAATGCATCTTTTTTTGTGACCAAGTTGGATCAATTTATGTACCATCCAATGTAATACAGCCATAATAAAACAAGAACTTAAAAGGCAGTAAAGTCTATGTCATCACCCCTCTACTGTCAAGTAAAAGGTTACATTATTCCTGAGTTTTGCATTAAAAAAAAAAACACAATTTATTATAGTCAGATGTTTATTTAAAATTTGTATTGGTCAACTTAGCGTTTTCCACCAACTCGGGGAGCAGAAACCTTCACAGGCTTCACAATCTTTTGCTTAGGGGCTGCCTTTGTGGGAGCCTGTAAAAGAAAAAATGTTACATTAGCATCGAATCTTAACATATCCAAATAAAACCACCTTAATAATGAAAGTTATTATATATATAACGGGGGCCCAAAGGGCTGGAGCACATATACTGCATGTGGGAGACAGGTCTCACCCAAACAAGTGACAACAGGCGTTAATCACTGGGCATGAAAACCAACACCTCCTCCAGGACCCCACCCCCAATAAAAGGTGAAAAAAAGATACAAACTGACCCGTAGGCTAGGAATAACAACAAAAAGCCCATTTCTGGGGACCTGAGCACTCGTATGGTCCTTTCACATGGCTGACCTAGATGCGATCTCTGGCATCCCATACAGTCGCCAGAGCACTGCCAGGAATTACTCCTGAGTGCAAAATCAGGAATAACTCCTGAGCATCATCAGGCATAACCCAAAAAGCCAGTGTGTGTGTGTCGGGGGAAGAGCCAATTTCTTCATAGTATGGAACTAATAGGCTTAAAATTTCCACTTCGTTATTCTAAACTGACATAACAGTGAGAGAGACTGA